TTGTAGCCTGTGCAGATGAATACAAAGGTCTTGTAAATTATGAAGACCCTTAAGCGGTGCAGCACATTTCTGTGCACTCTGTGGGGTTCGCACTGCATTATTCCTTCCCTGAATGATTGCTCCCAATGAAGGCTGGGCTGTCCATCATCTGAAATGAAGGACAATTTTTGCCCTGATTGCAACAGAGGGGAGAGTGCTTAACGCCCCCCCCCCCCCAAGAAGTGAATGGCAAACATACACTTATGCAGGGAGGTGAGATATTCAGGGGTGCGCTAGGACCATGTGGTTGCCAGTTCCAGATTAGGAAATTTCTGGATATTAGGGGGTGGAGCCTGAGGAGGGTGGGGCTTGGGGAGGGAGCTCAGCAGGGTATGATATCATAAGAGTCCACCCTCCAAAGCAGCCATTTTCTTCAGGGGGATTTATCTCAGTTGTCTGAAAATCAGGTGGAATCCTGGGGGATCTCCAGGCCCCACCTGGAGGTTGGCAACCAATGTTCCCTCTAAGCTGTGGAGTCTTGTGAGCAAAACTTCTGCTTTGTGAGCTACTGGCTTTAAAGTTGTGAGCAAATTATTTGGCTACTGCATAAATTAGTTTGTTCTGGAGCCCTCCTTCCTGAGCTGAGACAAAAAGGTGTGAGTCCAGAGGCTAGAAAACTGTGAGCTAGCTCACACTAACTCAGCTTAGAGGGAACACTGTTGGCAACTCAAGGACTCCAGTTTGAATTTTGCTTGTTTTGTTTTCTGCCAAATTGGTATTTAAAAACAAGTACTGCTGTTTTTTATTGTTCTATTGCTATTACTACTGCCAGCATTTGGGTTCTTTACTGAATGGGATTTGTATACCCATTTTAAAAAACAGCTTTGTCACTTTCTAAAGACTCTTGGTTAGTGCAGCATCTAAATAATCTGAGCAAATAAAAACTGAGGATCGTATTGTGTGGTATGGTACGGGAACGTAAGGAAAGTGTTAGTCCTTTAATGGGCTCATTTTGTAGCGATTTGAGAGTCACTTTTTTTGGTAAAAAAAGATTAGTTAAAAAGACACGTTTTGTTTCACACACAGGGCTGCAATCCTAATGACATTTACCTGGGAGTAAGTCCCATGGGGGACTTACTTCTGAGTATACCCGTTTAGGCGCACCCCCCTCCGGTATGCCATGTGGCTGCCTCGCTTTCTCCTTAACGTGATGGTGCCCTTTTGCAACACGGCCCTCCCGCGCGCACCTACCCTTAGTAAAGATGGCCGCTTGCCGGCTTCAAAGGCTCCCTTGGATGGAAAGAAACACTTGAGTGGGCGGGGCACCCTCGCCCCGCCGGACTCCCCTTTGCCCTCCCCCAAAATGGCCGCGGCCACTTCCACCCCCTCTTCCCAGCCGAGCCGTTTGCCCTTCCGAAACATGGCGCCGCATCCTGTGGCAAACTTTCCCGCCGCTGACCAAACATGGCGCCGACTAGCGGAGGCGAAGCGAGAGCCGGGCGGGCCCAGCCTGCCTCCCTGCCGGGGATGCCCATGCCGGCTGGGTGAGGTCAGTTCCGGGGTGGAGCAGCCCGGAGTGGTGCAGTGAGGGACAAACAAAAGGAAGCCAAAGCTCCGGGGACCCAACCGGGAAGGCGCTGCTGCCAGGTGGGTGTGGTGGGGAAGGGGCCGCCCTGAGGCAGGGAGGGAGACCCCGGCGGGGCCGCGCGGGGAGGAGGGCTGTGTGTGTGAAGGGTCTAAAAAGAGGGGGGCGGGGGAGAGGCTGAACGAGGGGCGCGGAGGGACCCACCCGGGAGGACCAGCCCTGCCTCCATGGTCTCTGACACGCGGGTTTCGGGGGCACGTGGGAATGCACCACATCCGGGTGGCCTCTTCGAGGGGCTGCTGGACTCCTCTTCAACGTGGCCCCCGGGCTCCTACTTTGCTGCCACTGACTATGGCGGGGATCCATCTGAAATGATCTTGTTTATTAATATATAAATATATCTATCTATAGATATAGATATATTGGCAGTGAAACGGGGGCGGGGGGGGGGCAGAGGGGCTCAGTCGTCCCTCCCCCAGGACAGAAACCTTTTGCGAAAGAGTGGCGGGGGCTGAGCAGCCCGGGCTCGGAAACCTGGGGCCAGTGTTCCCTCTAAGCTGAGTCTGAGTTAGTGTGAGCTAGCTCACAGGTTTTTTGCCTCCAGCTCACGCATTTTTGTCTTAGCTCAGGAAGGAGGGCTCCAGAGCCAACTAATTGATGCAGTAGCCAAATCACCTGCTCACAACTTTAATGCCAGTCGCTCACAAAATAGGATTTTGGCTCATGGGACTCCACAGCTTAGAGGGAACATTGCCCGGGGGACGAGCAACTTCATTGGGTTTAGCTGTAGCGTGTGGGCATTTGTATATTGGCTGTTGGGGGGTTGGGAGGTGCTTGCCCACCAATGTTCCCTCTAAGCTGTGGAGTCTTGTGAGCAAAAAATCTACTTGGTGAGCGGCCGGCATTAATGTGAGCCAGAGATTTGGCTGCTGCATAAGTTAGTTGGCTCTGGAGCCATCCCTTCCTGAGCTAGGACAAAAATGGGTGAGCTGGAGGCTAAACAACTGTGAGCCGGCTCACACCGACACAGCTTAGAGGGAACGCTGCTGCCCACCCACCTGCATTGGGTTGGGAGGAAAGGACTGGAAGCTCGTAACCTTGAGGCAAAAGCCGTGGGTCCTGATTTGGGGCTGGAGGAAGGGGGTGGGTGGTGGAATGACAATGATCAGGCATGTGAGGAAAGGGGCTTGCTTGGCCTGGGGCCCCCTCTAAGCTGAGCTAGCGTGAGCCAGCTCACAGTCTTTCAGCCTCCGGCTCACCCATTTTCGCCTTAGCTCAGGAAGGGATGGCTCCAGAGCAAACTGATTGATGCGGCAGCCGGAACCGCTCGCTCACAACTTTAAGGCCAGCAGCTCACCAAGTAGAATTTTTGCTCACAAGACGCCACAGCTTAGACTTAGAGGGAGCATCGAAAGGGAGTGCAGCTTTTCTGTGGAAAATTACAGGAGGCCCATAGGGATGAGTTGGCCACTCTGAGGCTGGTTGGGGGGAAGGGTGCAGACCGGGAACAACATAGAGAGGAGAGAGCTGGGGGGAGGGAGAAGGGGGTCTCCAGAGATTTGATGGAAGGGGTTCCCCCCCCCCCAAGGAATGGCTGGCTTGGCTGTGGTTGGAGTGGAGAAAGACTTTGGAGGAGATGATCCCCAGAGATGTGTTGGGCTTTTGGCCTTGGGGTGGGGGGGGGCGGTAGAGGGGTTGACAGTGAGGGCAAATAATAAAAGGAGAGACAGGGAAGGACGGGGTGGGTGGACCGGTGAGAGAGGGAAGAGGAGTTTGAAAAGGTGCTCTGGATGGAAGGGTCCTGTCAAGGATTTCTTTGCTCCCTTTCCATGTACTGAGAGAGGGGTGATGCCAGGAAGGGAGATGGAGGAAGAAAATGAGAGGGTGGTAGGGAAGGCAGCTGGGGAGGGGGCCAGAGGAGAAGAAGCCTGTATGCTGGGATGGGTTTCAGAACAACCTCTTACTGGTGGAAGGGACCTCCAGGGTCATCTAGTCCAACTGGGCAGAGGGACGCCTTCCAAGTCCATGATAGGGAAGAGGGGTACAACTCTAAGCAGGCAACAGAAATAATAATAATAATATGCAGTCAAGTTGCAGCTGACCCCCTCTGGGTTTCCAAGGCAAGAGATGTTCAGAGGTGACTTGCCACTGCCTGCCTCTGTGTAGCAACCCTGGGCTTCCTGGGTGGCCCCCGCCTGTCCAAGCACTAACCAGGGCTATCCCTGCTTAGCTGCCGAGCTCTGATGAGGCTCAGCTTAGTTTGGGCTGTAAAGTCTGCTATAGTTGATAAAAGGAGGCTGTAGACTTCCGGTCGACGGAACAGCAATGGCGGACGCTCTCCTCACAACGGAGGAGGGCGAATCGCACACCAGCGGCCTGGAGGGGTGCCACCTCAAGTGACACCCCCGCGGAGCCTTTGCGATAGGCTCCAGGCCAGGGGGCTTTTGAGGGGTAGCCTCTTCGATGGCGTAATGCTGGAGAATTGAGGCTCCTCTCCGCCCTGACGGTCCAGTCGCTGAGTGGCCTTCGGGCAGAAGCTGGACTGACCGGGACAAGCGCCGGAGATCGAGCGGAATGGCGTAAAACTGAGCGTGGTCAGATAAACTGGCCAACAATGAACGTGAGTTCTGAATAAAAACGGAGTAGTTTGAAAAGCGACCCCCCCCGTGCGCGCGATTGGAAACAGAGATTGCAAAGAGGGACACCTCTTTTGCGAATGAGTGGTTAAGACATGAAGGGGGAGAGGGGAGGAAGTAAACCAAAAGTGTTTGGAGAGACTTATCTGAATTGCGAAGTCGTTTGGTGAGTTTTCCGAGTTGTGGGGAAGCGGCAGAAACTGTAAATGGAAAGATGGCGGCCCAGCAGAGAAAGTTTAAAGCGAAACCGGGCAGGCAGAGACCGAGACCGGAAGAGGGAGCAGATGTCCTCAAACTCCTGGCGGATATGCTCAAGCCGGTGATGGAACAACTCGATGGTATTAACCAGCAATTGACTGTGATGAATAAAAACTTTGCGGCACAGCAGCTTCAGCTGAACGAGACAGAGAAAAAAGTGGAGCAGGCAAATGAGAAAATTAAAGAGATTGACAC